TTTTCTACTGAACGCAGCCATTGCGCGTTCAAGTCAACAAAGCGGCTAGCCGACTTACCAAACAAATGAATATGATTGATTGTTACTTATAGATCCAATCAATCACATTCAATCACTTGGGAGCAAATTAGCAGCTTTATCCAGTTTAATCGTGCCTATTGACTGCATTTAGTAAAACGTATATTTTACAATTATTGGAAAATTTTCTTCGCGCTAATTGAATTATACTTTTATCCAAAAGAATGATTCTATCTCAATAGACAATCATAAAACATTGCAAAATTGTGTTCTGCTGAACGCAGCCACAGTTGCGAAAACTTTTCTTTCCTATTACAGTTTTAAAAAATACTTTGAAACGGAAGAATTCTATTATATTCGTTGAAATTAGAATCACTTTGAGTCACAATTGAAAAAATTCCTATTAAAAAATTTAGGAGGGGATATAATTTAAAATAAAATAGATTGAAACATGGTTATAAATTCATATTTCATGATTTGATGGATTGAATTAATTTCAGAAAAGGTCACACTGAAATCGCATGTAATGCGTTATTGTTTTTTTTTATCTTGATCTATATTTATACACTCAGATTTTATATTTTGCTTCATTCGTCTCATTATGCAATTCCATTATATTAACCAGCATCAAATTATTTTAACTTCTCAAATATGATGGTTTATTACAAGAACAATGACGCACTCGGTATTCCGCAATATCAAATGCGGAATAGCAAGCGATTGTTTCAATGACGCATTCTCTACCCTGCAGTCTTATTTTGCACTATGTAATTTCACCCTAAGAAATTGACCAACTACAATTGAATGAGAGAAGAATAAGGGTGAAATCACATGATATGGAATAGAACTGCAGAATAGAGAATGCATCATTGAAGTAATCAATCAGTGCTATTCTGTATTTGATATTGCGGAATAGAGAGTGCGTCATTGGCCTAATTTCCACCGAAGATTTAATCCGGATCAGAATGTAAGAACCAGTTAACTATAGTCGAGTATTTTCTTGTTACAATCGAACGACAGGGGAATGCTTGTCTTGTAATAAAACCGTTGTATTTTAAATGATTAAAATAATTTGATGCTGATTGATATAATGGAATTATGTAATGTTGAGATAAATGAAACAAAATGATAAAATCTGAATGCATAAATGTAGATATCAAAATAAGAAAAACAATGCATTACGTGCAACTTCAGTGTGCCCTTTTCCGCATTTTTTCATCATACAAGTTTTGTGTGCTACGTTCACACGATGTAAAAAAATTATAGTAAATGCGTTAAAGCAGTTCAAAAAATTGTTATAAATATATATAAGATTGCAAATATTAATTGTAAAACATTAAATACTACACAGTGATAATTGCTTTTACAATTTGAAAAATTATATTTCATTTAAATAAGCAAATTATTAACATAAAGTCAATAGTTTTTAAATTATATTCATGCTGGACACTTTGACGCATTATGTAAACAGTGCACAAAACAACAACATTTGCGTGATAGAAAAGTGCGGAAAACGCTGATTGATTGTTTCAATGACGCATTTATTTCGCAGTCCTTTTTCCGCACTGTGATTTCACCCTAAATGATTGTGGCTACAGTCCACTTGACACTACAAATATTTCGAGACATTTTTGGATTGGTCAGTCAGTAAAATTCTATTTTCCGATTGGTCAATCAAAAGTTTCGAAGCATCAAATGAACCATACTCTGTGATTCGTCCTTACATCTTAAGATTTAAAAATCTATTGTAAATCTGGGATAAGACGGGAAGCAGACTATTAAACTACTGTTTGGAAATGAGTGAGCAAGAGGAAATCTTGAAACAAACAAAAAAATTGATTGTTACTTGAGAATAAAAAAACTTAAGTATTTGTGTTTATTAATATTAATATTATTAATGTTACACAGAGTTTAACTGAAATTATTACAAATAATGAGACTTAATCACAATTCCGAAACTCTTCTCGGAACAATCCTCGGCAGAACTATAAACGGAATGCGCTCACGAATTCTGACGCAGCAAATTTTCTAAAAGATGGTTAAAAACTATACTCGGCGGCGAACAACTAAAAGAAACAAAAGAAAAAATGAAAAAGACTCTCTCAATTTCCAATGAAATTCCTCAAAATTATAAAATTTGAGGAGACTTCTTCTTGCAGCGTGTGATTTGCGATTCACCGATTTAATTACGAAAGGAAGTTCAATTGCGCGGATGAGACAGCGAGCCATTGATTGGCGTGGTGACGTCACGCAAATTGCGTCACGGTAATGCCTCCGACATACCAGCGCAATGTTTGTCACGCGCGACACGCTTTATTCAATGAATGTACAATTTTACTGATTCTTATTCTAAAGATATATTGTCATTGGATGACTAACATCGCGCTGGAACCATAACGTGCGGGCGCCTCAAATCGTTAAATCGGAGGCACCGTTAAACTCGAATGTTTTCTAGTATACAACCTGAGTTTTGTTTATAATCATGGCTTATTTTTTTCAACGACTAGAAGAGAACATTGCGAAGAGTTTAGATTTCTAGAAGAATCGAAACTCATGTTTTGCACATTATTATATTAATTGTGATGTGTTTTTCATGACTTCAAACAACTATATATACTGGAATGGGTATCTTCGTTGTGAAGCACAGAAAATCGTGGCACTAATTGATTAGCGCCATTTTAATTTGGTCAATATAAGAGCGTAAGGAATTCCGCATAATAAAAGGAACAGAGAACAGAGAATAAGAATTTCAACTTATCAGAAACTGTGTATTCCGCATGATTTCAGATAGATCGAAATTCTTATTCTCTATTCTCTGTTCTTTTTATTGTGCGGAACCTCTAACAGAAGCTTTTAGGTGCTCATGCGCACTTACATTTAATGTTCTTTAATGAGATGCATATGTCAACAAGATCATTGTGTGTGAGGTTGTATTTGAAAGATTACTTTGAAAGATTATAAAATCATGATTGTAAAATGTGCAAAGCATCAACATGAAGTACTGTGTGCCTGGGTGTGGACAGAGAAATAAAAAGGGAATTTTATTTCATAGGTAAAAATTTTTGTATTAAATGTACTCCTGCACATGTTAACGATGTAGGATATGAAAAGTGTTATTAATATTATTTTATTGAATGTACTAATAAAATTGAAATGACATTATTTTGTTTACATTCATGTCCATATAGATTTCCATACATCGATTACAGCGCGTGTAAACACTTCTGATTCGCTCAAATATCGTCCCAACTAAAATGGCGGCTGATCAATTGTAGCTATAAATTTTCAATGCCCAGTATACAATTTAATGGTGTATGCGTGCATATATAAAGAATAGAACTTTTGTCATCTTTAAGTCGATTTACAGTCGACTAAAACATAATTGACTAATAGCCAACAAATAGTCAACTTATAGTTGACTATATGCCGACTAGAAAAGGTCGACTATAAGTCGACAGTCGTTCGTGTGTAATGTGGATTATGATTACCAATATAAATTCCAATCATTCTCCGGACCTACTTGCAACCAATCGCGTTTTCATCCTAATTGACATTCTATATTCATGTGATTAATTTTTCAGTAGTAAAATTTAATTTAATGTTAAATTGTAAAAATTAACACTTAATGGATTTTTAGATTCGCACTCTTCGAATCTAAAAATCCATTAAATGTTAATCTTTACGATTTAACATTAACGATAAAATATTGAATATGGATGAAAGACCGCAAATTTATTTATGAAAAAAAATATCTTAATTAATAATATTTTAACTATAAATACTAAATTTTAACTATACGTAAAACTTTTTTAAAATAATTTAAAATAACTTTTGTCAAATATAATATAATATAATAAATAAGTAATATATTTCGCGTGCTAGAAGAATAAAATGATGACGCATAAGACGAAAAAATGTATAAATGATGAAGTATTAATGGTAAATATACATGATAAGTATAGCGCGCAGTGGGAGTCGCGTCCGAAGGCGGCGGTAGATGGAGCTCGGCGGTCTTGACTCCGCGTGACGTCACCGCGACGCGGATGTAATTTTCAGCATTTTCCCCGCTACGTAATTTCCCGCACCCGAGATATCCTCTTGTTCCCCGGACTGTCATCCCTGCGATGTCACCACTTAACGTCATCCCCCCTGTGACGTCATGAACTATGACGTCCCCTATCCTCCTGCGACCCTCCTGGGGCCTCTGAATTAGAATTCCCTTACCTACCCTACTAATGGAAATGAAATTATACACTAGTATTTGTTAATTAAGTTATTTATTTATAACTTAATATTTAACAAAGGAGATTGGATGAAAACGAAATTATATACTGATATTTGTTAATTAAGTTAGGAAATGATAACGAAAAAACAATTTATCTCTATTTGTTTATAATTAATATTAAGAAAAAGGGGAGAAAAGGGGTGGGAAAAAATTCGTGGCGTTTTTTTAATGCCATCTAACGGGAAAAACGCCACGAACTTTTTCCCATATCTAATATTTAACAAAAGATCAGACGGAAATGAAATTATACACTGATTGTTAACTAAGTTAAGAATAATAATGAAAAAGTAATTTATTCATCATTGATGTCTATTTGCTTATAATTAATTAATATTTAATTTTATTTTTTACAAAAGAAAATCAAGCGGAAACAAAATTATACTTTATTAACAAAAAAAGGCAACAAGAATAAGCAAGTAAGGCTTCATTTAAAGCTATCCGGATATCCGTATTTGAATTACGAATGAATGTGATGCTTCAAATTCGGATTATCCGGAGATTCGAATTTTCTAAGATATCCGAATAGTCGAATCCAAATCCGGTCCTCAAATTCGGTTCCAGATTTGTAGCAAACTTACAGCAAATTCAGTCGGATGGATTAGTGCGGACTGAATGTATATTAAAGTCATTATATTATACACTTATTTAATCTGAGTGTAAAAATGAAATATAAATATTTCTCTTATTATCGCTTGTACATCTTTATTATTACTATTTTAAGATTGAGAGTTTCTAAACATTATATTTATAAACAATATTAATCTCATAGGACGTATATATGAGAAACACAATCTATAGAAACAAATGCCTCTGATTGATTAAACGATCTACATTTGCATGTTTCTGAAGACTTTTTTTCCTTTCCTTATTTGAAGTTATGGACATCACTGATTATGTCATTCTTTTTTAATTTCGATAGATTTTGATCATGAGTCTCTTGAATTATGTTTCTTAAGACTCCTTTCCTTTTTCATTCAAGTGTCATATTTAATGAAATTTCCTTTTTTCATAAACTTAGGCATTTCAAAAGTTTCATTCAAATTTTGTATGACTTGAGTCTTATTACATGATGTTTGGCTTTTTGCTCTTTCATTAATAATTCTATTTATACATAGAACTTACTTTTCAGTCTTTATTTTAACAATGTGAGTCTCTGATTCCGAATTTCACATTATAGGTGGCTTTTTGCTTTTATTATATTTTGTAGATACACTATTTTCTAAATTATTTGAAAAAGTATTGACGTTTAATACATGCTTCTTAAGTATATGTTGCTTTTCTTTACATTTAAAATAGGGAATAATATTCTTTGTACTTTTAACTATTTCTTCTTCGTTTTCTTTGTTAATATAAGTTCTGAATCAGATTCTTTAGATTTCTTCACATTTCTTTTCCTTTTTTATCTCTGTTTCAGTAATACTATCTAACAGAATGGATTTTTTTCTCTTTGCAGCTTTACGTGACACAGTAAGTTCGTCCAAAATTGTTTCATTATTAAGTAGCGATTTGGACATTTTCTTGTTCTTCTTATGTTTTTTAGGGATATTATCGACTTCCAAATCATTTAAGGAATCACCAGTATTTGATAAAATATATTGCTGTTTCTTTTCAGATTTAATAATTGTAGAAGTATTATTTCCTACGTTCAACTTTGATTCATTTTCAATTTTACAAACAACTTCTGAATTCCGGTCTTGAAACTTATATTCTTTCCGGTGTATTTTCTGTTTTTTCTTCTCTTTCTCAGAAATATCATTTTCCAATATTTCATCAATATCAATCTTCATGTTATTTGAACATTCAGTTGCACTGTCCACACCAATATTTAAAATACATTGCTGTTTCTTTTCAGATTTAATAACTGTAGAAGTATTGCTTCCTGCGTTCAACTCTGATTCATTTTCAAGTTTACAAATAACTTCTGAATTTCGCTCCTGAAACTTGTGTTCTTTCCAATGTTTTTTCTGTTTTTTCTTCTCTTTCTCTGAAATACCATTATTTTTCAATATTCCATCAATGTCAATTTTCATAGAGTTATTTGAACTTTCAGTTGCATTCTCCACACCAATATTTAATAAAATACGTTGCTGTTTGTTTTCAGATTTAATAATTGCAGAAATATTGCTTCCTACGTTCAACTCTGATTCATTTTCAATTTTACAAACAACTTCTGAATTCTGCTCCTGAAACTTGTGTTCTTTCCGATGTTTTTTCTGTTTTTTCTTCTCTGAAATATCATCATTTTTCAATATTCTATCAATGTCAATCTTCATGTTATTTGAACATTCAGTTGCACTGTCCACACCAATATTTAAAATACATTGCTGTTTCTTTTCAGATTTAATAACTGTAGAAGTATTGCTTCCTGCGTTCAATTCTGATTCATTTTCAATTTTACAAACAATTTCTGAATTCCGCTCCTGAAACTTGTGTTCTTTCCGGTGTTTTTTCTGTTTTTTCTTTTCTTTCTCAGAAATACCATCATTTTCCAATATTCCATCAATTTTCATAGAGTTATTTGTATTTTCAGTTGCACTGTCTACATCAATGTTTAATAAAATACATTGCTGTTTCTTTTCAGATTTAATAATTGTAGAAGTATTGCTTCCTACGTTCAATTCTGATTCATTTTCAATTTTACAAACTATTTCTGAATTCTGTTCTTGAAATTTGTGTTTTTTCCGGTGTTTTTTCTGTTTTTTCTTCTCTTTCTCAGAAATGCCATCATTTTCCAATATTCCATCAATGTCAATCTTCATGGAGTTATTTGTACTTTCAATTGGACTGTCCACATCAATATTAATTATGCTTTCTGACAACCTACAACCTTGCGAATAATCGGATTTCAAACTGGCGCAGATGAAAGGAGGTTTGCTCTTATGATGTAGTTGAGTGACGCAACATCTTACTTCCTGACTAATCTTCACTGACTCACCTAACCATTGCTCTGTATTATCTGGTTTTGGAATAGATACGGTATATATTTTGTGTACCAGTATTACAATATAATCCAAACTCTTCTTATTCACTATACCTGCAACATAATATTATCATATCTACATATAGTTATCATATCTACATATATACAGGCTATTTTAAATAATATACACTATGATTTCTCAAAGATAGATACAGTAAGACTGTTTTCTAAAGTATTAATCTGAATAGTGGAAATTTCAAGATTTAAAAGGCTTTTTTAAACATCTCGTTACAATAATTTTTCTGAGTTATTGCTATTTGAAAATATTCAAAATTTATGCAAAAATTTAGTGGCCCGTTTTTTTGCGTGTGAATGTGTGTGTGCGCGCGCGCGTGTGTGAGTGTGTATGTACAGGGTGTTTGGAAAATAATGATAAATCTTTTGCATGGAGGCAGAATGTACTAAACTGCGAAGTCCTCTACTAACTTTGCAATTTTTACAATAGTTAATAAGATATTATATTTGCTAAATATCGCCAAAAATTAATCTTCAATAATGTTTGACTCAAACTATCAATTTTACAGAAAAACTAGAAGAGACAAAAATTGTTTATTTTCTTCTCATAGAATTCTAAGAATTTTTTTAGAATTTTTTCAGAATTGTTTAATATCATATTTTCTCATATTAATAAAAATGAGAAAATGCAATACTAAAAAGTTGATAAAAAATCTGAAAAAATTCGTATAATTTTATGAGAAGAAAACAATTTTCGTTTTTTACAGTTTTTCTATAAAGTAGTAGCACTTAGCCAATTAAAAATATGTTATGCTAGGATTTCACAAATTAATGATAATTAATTTTCTTTAAGAAATCAATTCAGTACATAACAATTAGCGAAAATAATTTACCTTTCAGAAAAAATCCAGTCTTTGGACGGAACAAATAGAAATCTGCTTCAATGTTGACATGAATAAAGGGAGAATCATAAAACAATTCTCCTAAATTGCTAAGCAACTTAGGATTTTTAAAAGCCAGTACAAACCCTTTCAATCTAAAATATAAAATTACTTTAGTAAAGTAATTTAGTAAAGTAATATTAAATTAAGAAGACTTCAGCCATCTCAAATTTTGATAAAAATACACTCAATCGATGCGTTTTTCACATAAAAACAAAGATTTGGCAAGAAAAAAAACATCATTCTACTCTGTGAACCGAGATATTAATTCGTTAAAGTCAATGACTATTCAAGTTAGAAAATCCGTCACAGCAGTGGTACATTGCTTTAAAAACACAAATTCACTGTTTTAAAAATATAAATTCACTGTTTTAAAAACACAAATTCATTGCTTTAGCAGAAAATTTGTTTTTAATGCAAAGGATTCATGTTTTTAAAACAGTGAACCACTGTTGACAAATTTCCTAATCTGAATAACCATTGATTAACATCTTAGTTCAAGGCAAAATGACGCTTTTTTCTTGTCAAACTTTATTTTTATGCATTGATTGAAAATTTGAAGTGGGGTTTTCTTAACATTCACTCAAATTATAATAATAAACTAATAATGAGACATTTAAATTTTAGAAAAATACATTTAGTATTACTAAATATATTTATATTATTAATTATATCTGGTAATACTCAAGTACTCAAGAATTCTGCTCGCCAATTTTGAAATGAATGATGAAATTAGGCTTATTCAACGTTTTTTTCACACGAAACGAAAGAATCTGGCAAAAAAAAGCATTGCTCTGCCCTGTGAGTCGAGATATTAAGCGTTAAAGTTGATAACTTTATTGAAGTTAGGAAATCTGTCAGAGACAAAATGGGTCTATAATTGTACTGTCCCACATGAATTTCGATTTTCCATGCGAAGTGATTCTCACACACCTCTCCCTCCCCCCCTACTCTTTCCTAACAGGACTTCAATAATTGTATGTTGTTGTTGAGCTTAGAAAATCTATCATGTAGACAACAGGGTATAGATTAGGCTTGAATGGATATTTTACACACACACACACACACACACACACACACACACACACAATTGTATATATAAAGCATAGATGAATGCGTACTCTCTGTCATAAGTATTCAACAACGATCTTAAAATCTGATTTAGACCTCGTTGAATATTGTTCAAGTGATATGGATGTAATGCAACGTGCTTGATGGTCCTCACAAAGTGCACATGAGAATCCTCGTCTTCTAGAAGACCTCTGAGTTCTAGAGTGGTCCACGTCACTTCACGATTTTTCTGATGTTTCATCTTGCGTCAAAAACACAGTTGATATTAAATATTATTCAATTAATTCTTCAGACCTTCCTCATCTTCGAACTTCTAAAATATGATTCATTCAACATGTTTTTACGAAATAACCAAAACGATCAAATTTGACAAGAAAGAAACTGCTCTACCTTGCAGCCGAGATCGAGACTAGAGACTAGTTATGCGAGATTCTGATTCGATTATTCGAGAAACGATTCTTTTTCCGCAATTTGGACGGAATCCATAGACTAGCGTTCCATGAACAGAAATTTACAGAGAACGAGAGATCCAATCACATTCACAGAAAAGAAAGTAGAGTCATATAGCGTTTTCGGCCTGAGTTGCACTGAAGGTCGATTCTGTATCTTCAAGGTGAAAATTATAAAAGCGAGCAAATTTAGGTATTGACCAATATAATAATCAGTAAATTCTAGTAAATTCGCTCACTTTTATAATTTTCACTTCATTTCAAGATACAGAATCGATTCCCAGAATCGATCCCCGAGGTTAAAATAATGATGTTTCGTGCTCTCCTATTGGTAGAGCGTGTAACGTCAACCAATAGCGAAGCATTTTCTAACCCAAGTGCAAATCCGGTCAGGCCGAAAACGCTAAAGGACAATAAAGGGAATAGAGAACAGAGAATATCAACCTATCAGAATTTCAATCTGTCAGAAATCATGTGGAATACATAGTTTCCCTTTAGATTGAAATTCTTATTCTCTGTTCTGTGTTCCCTGTTCTTTTTATTGTGCGGAGCCTCTTAGCGTAAAGTACATACAATATGGATACTGAGCGTCGAAACCTTTGATGAGTTCCAGACCACAAAACTCGCCGCCATGTGAGTTGGAAAGGCGTTTATAAATTTGAGTTTTTATAACAGTGTTCGCAAAAATTTGCATATTCCAACGAGCGACTCCATCACTCGAGCCCTCACGTGACGCTTTGATCAGGAGCGTCTCTATACCAGAAATATACTAGGAGCGCATCTTCCATTAAATTATTATTGAAATATGTTTTTTATTAAATAATTTATTTCTATTAACATAAAATCTTCTATTGTTAATTTATTCATTGTTTTTTAGTGATGTATTTATATCTTAATGTAATTTTCTTAATGTAATACATTACATAATTATGATAATGTACATTTCGACAATAACTTTCCATATCATCCGCGAGGCTTTAAACTGGATTGGAATGTAAGAACCAATCAACTACAGTCGAGCATTCCCCTGTTGTTCGATTGTAACAGGGGCTACTCGACCGTAGTTGGTTGGTTCTTACATTCTGATTCGGTTTAAATCCTCGGTGGAAACTAGACCATTGTTGAAGTTGTAAGTTCATAAATTATCATTGACAAGATAGCAAACAAATTGAATATTTCTGATTTATTTATGCTGCATAATTTGGGTGTAGTTTGGAAAAATTTAGGATAAGTATTTAAACATTTCGGTAATAGTATTTTTCTTGTTATTAACAAATTTTATCATGCGTCAAGTTAGTAGACAGCGATTTTATTTTATGAATGGAATCGATTAGAAATCATTTGAGGAAGATGTTTCATTGTTATTTTCATTTGGGAAAAGCCGTTATTTTGTAATTCAATATATTTATATATATTGCGAAAACGAATAATGCCCAAGTGTAGTGGGTGTAGTAGGTATAGTACAATAAATGTAGTAAATCAAAAATTAATCAATTGGCCTGGGTTGGTCTATGTGTAGAAGAAATCAATTTAATCATAAACTTAATTATGTTCAATTAAATTTCTTCACATTCAACTGATGTAATTGGTCAATTTCTTAGAGTGCCGTCCCGTAAGCGGAAATTTCAGCGGAACGGAATAGCGCGACCAATCACAACTCTGTAGTCATTAGTTGTTATTGGTCATTAATCTGCTTTTTTCTTGCGTTTCTGATTGGTTTCGCTTTTCCGTTCCGCTATAAATTTCTGTTCATGGGACAGCACCGAGTATCAAATGGTGATATGATAAAATCATTTGTTTGTCTTTACTGGAAAATAAAACAATAAAGAATAAACATTTTCTCCTTCTTAAAATGTATTTAAATAATAATATTTACAAATCAAGAAAATAACATGTACTATTATAACAAATCTTTTTCTTTATTTTATATTTTTATATCAAAAGTTTACTTCGAAATCTGAATATTCCAATATTTTGCGTTTGCGAACTTCACATGGATGATACAATAAATGTAGAAAGCCTTAAGCCATAAACAAATGACCAATCACAATTAAATGTAAAGAAACTTAATCGAGCGTAATTAAGTTCATGATTAAGTGATTGATTTCTTATTATACATAACATTCAGGCTAATTGATTAATTTTTGACGATTTTGAGTTTTTACTACATTCATTATACTACACCCATTACACCCGCGCATTGTTCGTTTTCGCAATATGTGTAAATTTATTGAATTACAAAATAGCGACTTTTACCAAATGAAAATAACAATGAAGAGGTCTTCCCCAAATGATTTTTAATTGATTCCATTCACAAAACACATTAAATAAAATCGCTATCTACTAACTTGACTTAAGATCTCTAAGCGCATCTTCCGCCAAATTATTATTGAAATATGTTTGTTATTAAATAATTTATTTCCATTAACATAAAAATTTCTATTGTTAATTTATTCATTATTCCTTAATGATATATGATATACTTATATCTTAACGTAGTTTTCTAATATATTACATAATTATGATAACGTACATTTCGCGAGAGATTCACAAGATCTTTCCACATTACCCGTGAAGTACTATTGTAAGATCCGTTTTTTTTTTTAATGTGGTTTCCCCAATAGATCTATTCCACAAAAAGAATCGAAAAGAAGAATAAAAATTATATATTGTATAATACGATATATAATTTTGCTTTCTTGCCAAGCCATTCGAGTATATTTGAATTTTTTTTGTGGAATAAGTCTACTGGGGAAATCACATTAAAAAAAACGCATCTTATAATAATAATAGTATCTCACGGGTACCTCGGTGGAAATTAGAGGGAAATTAATTAGTGGAAATTATCAGTGTTACTAAGGACCACTTTCAAGCTCCGATTAACTTAACGGACTTAACTAAAGTAACTTTGCAGAATTCCAATTGAAGCTGGGAATCGATTCTGTATCTTCAAAGGTGAAAATTATAAAAGCGAGCAAATTTACTAGATGTTGACCAATGAAATAATCAGTATTCTAGTAAATTTGCTCACTTTTATAATTTTCACCTCATTTCAAGATATAGAATCGATCTCCTGATGTTGGAGAAAAAATGTGAACTGAAGAGTTAAACATATTTCACTAATTGTAATTAATTATAATTTTACATACCACATTGAACACAAAAATAGGTTATTAACAAACAGCTATCAGAGAGAAACCTTGCTACATAAGTTAGTATTACAAATTTATATTTATAACTTCTCTCTTTTTTCTCCGACTTTTTTCAGCTTCAGTTGGAATCCTACAAATAAGTTACTAGGCTTGTTAAGTTAATCGGAGCTTGGGCCCTAATCCATACAAATTAAAATCATGTTGCCTGGAAGTTTTTGTTAATGCCAACATTTTCCAGTCTAGTTTTTCGTGAAAATATCATGTAACCTTCTACAATAGTCATAAGCGTAATTGATTGTAATTTTAAGAATTGAATCAAGTCAAATATGAGGAGAATACTTTATAATTGGTCAATTTTTACAATTACACTTGTAACTATTGTAGAATAAGTTTTAAGCCCGATTTACGAATTGCGTAAACACAGTTACAGTCGAACGACAGAGGAATGCGACTATAATTGATTGATTCATACATTTTGATCTGGTTTAAAACCTCGGTGGAAACTAGACCGAAGTTGTAGTTGTAAAAATTAACCAATCACACTTGAATATGAGGAGAATATTCGACTGTGATTGATGAATTGTTACAACTACGACCACTTACAACTACGTTTACGCATAGATCAAACTTTACTCTATCCAAAGCTATGTTTCAAAACTTCATCTGCGAGAATACTTTTATTCTATATGTTATAGTATACGTTTCGTGTACTATATATTTCAAGTAAAATTTTCTTCGGAGAGAAAGTTTTAGAACGTAATCCAAAACGAATCTTAACCGTGCACATTGGCTGCAGAATGTTTAAGTGGAGAACATAGACTCTTACATAACGCATAACACACAAGGCAAGAAATTGAACCAATCAGAGTTCTTTATTTCATGGAAAGAAAGGAAAACGAAGGATTTACGTTTTTTTATGCGTTATACAAGAGTCTGTGCTTTATTTTGTAATCCTGCTTTATTTTGTAACTGTTGGAAGTTTTCTTCGCGCTTTTCCCCTGATTGGGTTATGCTTTTAGATCAAGAGGAATGGACTTATTATCTCAGCAGAGAATCAAAACGATTGCAAAACTGTTGTGTTCTGTTCCAATTGAATCAGTGCTACTTTTGTGCACGTTGTGTTCAGGATATCAATCATGAAACTTTTTTCCTAGGATGAAAAGTAAAAAATTTCTCCATTAATTCTAATAGTTAAAATTTTTCACTTTTCACTTTCCAGGAATAATTAGACTTTCTAGGGATAAAGTTTCATGATTGATACCAAGATATGTTAAACAATTGGAAAACACCTAAAGATTCCACCATGATGGTAAACTGTAGATTTTCAGCGCTAACTGAATTTTGAAACACAGCTAAACAAGAAGAAGAAAGACTATACATTGGAGATTGAAATTGAAATTAAGATTGAAATTAAAATTGATGTCCGACTAACGAGAACAGAGCAGGCTGAGATTGAGATTGCAGATTAAAATATAGGACTCCGTTTATTTTTCCAATCTTAAATCTTAACCAGTAAGCTTCCAGTATTTAAGTCACTTTGGTGACTAACCTCACCAATGTATTGTGTATGTACAAAATAATAAGTTATAAAGGGTTATAAGAAGTACAAACACAGCACAATTAAAACATGTGAGTGCAATTAAATGTGTATTCAATAATTTTTGTTATGTGTGATTCTAGTTATCCGATATTCTTACTAATCTCAATCTTAATTGCTGTTGGATATAATTCATAATGTGATCGAGCAATCTTCAATTTTAATCTCAATCTTAATCTTAAATCAATTTAATCTTATTTCAATTTTCAATGTATAATCTGATCACGGCTTAAGAAGATCAAACTCGAGATCTGAAATTGAGC